GCGCCGATGGAGACGGGCGCATGAAGGTCCCCCCCTAACCGCTGGAGGCTTTTAGAAACTGGAGAGACGGTCCGGGAGCGCATCTGCGAAAGCTGGTGGCGGGGAGGGGGGTGCGAGGGGGGCGGTGTTGGTGAACTAGCCCGGGCCCTCGGCGGGCCGCGGTGGAATTTCAGGGAGTCATCAATTCCCTTGCTCCGGGGTAAGGAACGGAATAGCTAAATCTCTGCAGGAAAGAAAAAAGAGAGAGAGATTTTCACAGATAACAGTTGTTCTATAACCCAAGTGGCTTTATAAGAAAAACTCGAGGGTTCAACAGAAGAGCCGTTTTAAAATGTTTAGCGCTCTCCTGGGTTCACTTGCGGCCGCGCCCTTCCCCGGCGAGGCTTGGGTTCCTTCATCTCCGACGAAGGCCGTGGACCAGGTAACGCAGACAGCGAGAGCCCTTCCCGCCCACGATCGTGGTTCCTCGACCCTCTGTGTCAGGTGTTGGATTCCACACGCCCCGGGCTGTCACCCTCCCCCGCGCATGCTGTTTCCCTCCCTTTCTGCGCCGGTTCTGTGTCTGAGGCTCATTGCTCCTTCCCTCGGGGACTAGTCACGGAAAGGCACTCGTGGCTGGGATGTGGCTCCCTCTGCACACGCAGTAGCAAAGGGTGTGTGGTGGCTCCCTGCGCCCTGAGCACCTTTCCTACAGAAGCCGGGCGGTGCTGGATGGAAGCCCTGCCCCGGTTCGGCGGCCGTCCGGGGGCCTGGCCTGCCGTGTCTTTGAAGACCTTTCGGACCTCAGTCCCGCCCGGCAGCAGCGGTTCCACTGCCAGGGGCCTGTGGCTCCAGGTGCACCCCGTGTTAGACTCCGACTGGGCCACCTGACACGAGCAAAACTTTGTGCATTTCAGATCACACGGGGCCCAAGTTTGACATCGATTTGCTGGTTTCGCTTCTGAGGCAAGAGAATGCAAGAGACATCTGTGTGATCCGCGTTCCTCCCGAAATGAGATACACAGATTACTTTGTGATCGGAAGCGGAACTTCCACCCGACACTTACATGCCATGGCCTACTACATCGTGAAAATGGTAGGTAGGACGCTGTCTTCTCCCTTAGGGACCGGGAACTGGGTGAAATGGTGTCAGTGTGTTAGGCTGAGGAGAAACACGTGAAAAGTCAATCTGTCAATGAGATTATATAAGCCCACATTTTCAGAATTTTCGTGTTTTATGTTCTCTGATAGTGAAAATGATGGGGGTGGGGGGACCAATGTAATACTGTCAACAATAAAGATTGTTTTAAAAAAGGAAGTTATGTGGACAAATATCCAACCCTAGTGAATCAGGGTATTTCTAATTCTTGTCTTTTAAAAAAATATTAAAAAATAACCTGAGACAGACTAGAGACAGTATAACCCAGAGGGATTTCTAGAGCAGCACTGTCTGATATGGTAGCCATTAGCCACATGTGGCTATTTAATTATAAATTAAAATTTAAAATTCAATTCTTTATTTGTACTAGGCCAAATTTCAGGTGCTCAGTAGCCACATGTGACTAATGGCTACCATGTTGGGTAGTACAATAAAACATTTCCATAATTGCAAAAAGTTCTATAGGACAGTGCTGACCTAGAGTTAATTCAAATGTTTGAGCATGTCCTGTGTTCCCAAGCACTGTGCTGGGTATTGGGAAGGTAAAAATGAGGAAGATTTAGTCCTCACCCTCTGAAGTCACAGTTGAAGAAAGGGAAGGCAGTTCATTTTGCAGCTTGTACCGAATATAAATCAGAATGAGGAAGAAAATGTACTTGGCAGCCTTTCCCTGATGCTGATACCACTTTACAGGGAAACATACCTCTCTCACCTTGTTGAAAATTGGACAATTAAGACCCAAAGGGATTGCCTAGAGAAGGCTGGTAAAATAAGAAGGGGGCTGGCCTTACCCGGTTTGGCTCAGTGGATAGAGCGTCGGTCTGCGGACTGAAAGGTCCCAGGTTCGATTCCGGTCAAGGTCATGTACCTTGGTTGCAGGCACATCCCCAGTAGGGGGTGTGCAGGAGGCAGCTGATCGATGTTTCTAACTCTCTATCCCTCTCCCTTCCTCTCTGTGAAAAATTAATAAAATATATTTAAAAAAAAAAAAAAAAGAAGGGGGCTGAAAACAGAGCCTTGGTGCCTGTACACATTAAACAATGACTTCCCGTTCTCCCTTCTCCCAGCCCCCGGCAACCACCATTCTGCTTTCTGTCTATAAATTTGACTACTCTAAGCACCTCATATGAGTAAAATAATACCCTATTTGTTGTTGTTTTTTTGTGACTGGCTTATATCACTTAGCATAGTGTTTTCAAGGTTCATCCATGTTGTAGCATGTGTCATATTTTATTGTATGTACAACCAGATTTTATCTGTTCATCCAGTGATGGACATTTGGGTTGCTTCCCCCTTTGGGCTATTATGAATAATGCTGCTATAAACATGAGTGTAGAAATATCTGTTCATGTCCCAGCTTTTTAAAATATTTATTTTTTAATTATAGTTGATATGTAATATATAAGTTTCAGGTATATAATATAGTGATTAGGTATTTATATACCTTAAGTAATGATCACCATAAGTCTAGCACCCTTCTGGCACCATACATAATTATTACAATATTATTGACTATATTCCCTATGCTGTACTTTACATCCCTGTGACTAATTTTATAACTGGCAGATTGTATTTCTTAATTCCCTTCACCTTTTTTTGCCTATCTCCCCACCTCCATCACTTCTGGCAACCATCAGTTCTGTTTCTTTAATTTCTTGCATTTTTTATTGTTTTGGGAGGGGTGTCACCAAGTTAACTTTATTTTATTTAAATCATTTGTTATTTTTCAAATACAATTGATATATAGTATTGAAATGTGGGGTTTGGGGTGCAGACTTTTCTTCCCATGAGTTCTTGTCCTCATGAAGTTTGAAGAATAAACTCACAGACAAAAAGACTTCTTTAATAAAAAATGTAGAAGCTTATTGGAAGCAGATACAAACTCCATCTGGGCAGGGGTGTCCCCAAAGGGGACAGCATGGGGAGGGAACCCCCCCCCCCCCATGGGAAAAGCCTGCTCTCTCTTTCTAATGGAAAAAAATTAAAATATTCTGCCTCATGTCCCTTTGTCTCCAGTTTATGTATGCTGCAGTTCTTAGTTTGAATCTGACCTTTTCTTTTTTTTAATTGTTTTATTGCTTAAAGTATTACAAAGAGTATTACATATGTCTCCTTTTTTTCCCCCGCCCTTGACAATCCCCTGCCCTCCCTTACCCCCCAGTGTCTTATGTCCATTGGTTATGCTTATATGCATGCATACAAGTCCTTCGGTTGATCTCTTACTCCCCTCCCTTCTGCCCCCCAACCCTCTCTGGCCTTCCCACTGCAGTTTGACAATCAGTTTGAGGCAGCTCTGCCTCTGTATCTATTATTGTTCAAAAGTTTGTAATGGTCTTTATTATCCATGAATGAGTGAGATCATGTGGTATTTTTCCTTCATTGACTGGCTTGTTTCACTTAGCATAATGCTCTCCAGCTCCATCCATGCCGTTGCAAATTGTAAGAGTTCCTTCTTTTTTACAGCAGCATAGTATTCCATCGTGTAGATGTACCACAGTTTTCTAATCCATTCATCTACTGATGGGCACTTAGGCTGTTTCCAGATCTTAGCTATGGTGAATTGTGCTGCTATGAACATAGGGGTGCATATATCCTTTCTGATTGGTGTTTCTGTTTTCTTGGGATGAATCTGACCTTTTCTTATAGGTCCCTTTCCTTTATTTAGGACCCCTATGTTTTCCTTATTGGTCATTTTGCTACATAGAATTAGTTTCAAAGCCCAAAGCCCACGTGGTGCCCCCCCCCCCATTTTCTCTCCCCCTTATCTTGCTGGTTGGAGTCACTTTTGATTTATCTTACGGTTTTCTTCCAGTTGTGCTGGCAGAGAAAGCCTTATCTTATAGCTCTCCCAGCTACTCAGGTCAGGGCTACTTTTGGTCTAACTTATGATCACTTTAATTGCTCAGGCCAGAGGTACCCCTGTCTGTCCTTGGTTTATGGCTGTTTTAATTGCTTAGGCCAGAAATATTTCTATCTGGGTGTGGCACTTTTCTATCCTCTGTAGAAGTAAGTAAGATAAGCACACCCTGGCGTCTTTACTAGTAAGTCTCCATCTATGCAATCCTCTCCCTTGGACCCTCCTCATTCCCTAAACCTCCCTAAACAAGCTACTAGCTAACCCTTTCAGTATTATATTAGTTTCAGGTGTACACCCCAGTGATTCACTATAACTTACTAAGTGATCATCCGGATAAATCTTGTACTCATCTGATAACATACATAGTTGTTAGAATATTATTGACTGTATTTCCTATTCTGTACTTAACTCCCATGACTATTCTGTAACAACAAATTTGTTTTTCTTAATCCCTTCTCCTCTTTCACCCATCTCCCAACCCCCTCCCATCTGGCAACCATCAAAATGTTCTCTGTATCTATGAGTCTGTTTCTGTTTTGCTTGTTCATTTATTTTGATTTTTAGATTTAATTGTTGATATATGTGTTTATTGCCATTTTATTGTTTATATTTTTTTATCTTTTTTTTTCTTCTTAAAGAAGACCCTTTAACATTTCATGCAATACTAGTTTGGTGGTGATGAACTTCTTTAGCTTTTACTTGTCTGGGAAGCTCTTTATTTATCCTTCTATTTTAAATGATAGTTTTACTGGATGGAGTAATTTTGGTTGTAGGTCCTTGCTTTTCATTACTTTTCCATAGTGTAAATGTCCCACAGCTATTTTATCCATTCATCTACTGATGGGCACTTGAGCTGTTTCCAGATCTTAGCTATCCTATATAATAAAGAGGTAATATGTAAATTAACCCTCAGGCCCTCACAAAATGGCTGCCTACATCCAGGCTGGCAGGGGGTTAGTGAGGGATGACCAAACAACTGAACAAGCAGGCTGCTTGGGGAGACCAAGCCAGCAGGGGGGCATTTGGGGGCGACCAGGCTGGCAGAGGGGGGCAGTTGGGGGTGACTTGGCCGGCAGCGGGGGGCAGTTAGGGATGACCAGGCAGGCAGGTGAGCTATTAGGAGCCAGCGGTTCAGGATTGTGAGAGGGATGTCCTACTGCCAGTTTAGGCCCGATCCCGGATTGGAAAAGATGCAGGCTGGGCTGAGGGGACCCCCACTGCCACCCCCCCACATGAATTTTGTGCACCAGGCCTCTAGTTGTAAATAATGCTGCTATGAACATAGGGGTATATATTCTTTCTGAAACTCCATACTGTTTTCCATAGTGACTGCACCAGTCTGCATTCCCACCAGCAGTAAACTAGTGTTCCCTTTTCTCCACATCTTTGCCAGCACTATTGTTTGTTGATTTCTTTATGATAGCCATTCTGACAGGTGTGAGGTGTTATCTCATTGTGGTTTTAATTTGCATTTCTCTGATGATATGTGACTTTGAGCAGTTTTTCATATATCTCTTGGCCATTTACATGTCATTTTTGGAGAAATGTCTGTCGGGTCTTCTGCCCATTTTTAAATTGGATTGTCTTCCTTTTGTTAAGATATATGAGTACTTTATATATTTTGGATATTAACCCCTTATCAAATGTATCCTTTGCAAATATTTTCTTCCATACAGTAGATTTTCCTTTCATTTTGATGGTGGTTTCTTTTATTTTGTGCAGAAGCTTTTATTTTATTTTATTTTTTTAAATAAATCTTTATTGTTCAGATTATTACAGATGTTCCTCCCCCTCCCCCATAGCTCCCCTCCACCTGGTTCCCACCCCACCCCATGCCCGTACCCCCGCCACCTTCCTCATCCATAGGTGTAAGATTTTTGTCCAATCTCTTCCTGTACCCCCCATACCCCCTTCCCCCCGAGAATTGTCAGTCCACTCCCTTTCTATGCCCCTG